ACAGACTCACCTGGATTTGATCTAAACTGAAAGCATTTATCGGCCTATTGAACAAGTCGAGTGAATTATTTATTCCTTTACAAATACTTTATTATATTTTTTTCTTAATTCATCCCTGACCAAAACATTCTCGAACAATTTTATCTTTTAGGAATATCTGAGTCTTCGAAGCAACATACAGTTTAATCCTCTTACACCAACACAGCGGACAAAAACCTGTTAAATATGATAAAGTTAACTTATTCAAGCAACGTGAATTTGATCAGTTATAGATTTTTGGGAGGCAACGAGATGCAGGTGAAATTTGTTAGTGATGTCACAGATTTTAATTAATTTTTTGAAACCTATTCAATACTTCTGTGTAACTGAATTTCAAACCAACGCCAAAAGACGTTTATCCCACAGAATCAGGAATTTCATTTAACTTAATTGAAAAACAAACTATTCACTGACCACAGTATTAATTTTGTCACTACTACATGCAGTAATAGTGACAAAACGAAGGCGGTCTTGCTCTAACGCTCCAACTTTCCCACCTGGTGAGTTAAAGCTGATTTTCTCATCAGGAACTGCGACCCTGTTGGTTCCTGTTGAGCAGGCGAACACTACGTCCTCAGTGTACAGAAAGGCTGTGGAGCCGGGGGAACGAGGCAACACCAGCCGAGTGGCCTGCAGCGTCTCCTTGTTCTGAGGAAATAACAGAATAACTGAAGACTTTCAAAATAAAAGCATAAATATCTTCACTCTTATAATGGGAACTGTAAATGCTGGACTTTATTTTACAATGTCCTGTAGTTTCACTGTCACTTGTTTGGACAGTTCCACTCTTTCTGCGTTTCAAAGTGGTTAATGTTGTAATAATTATAATCGAGGATTGTAATTATCAGGCTCTTCTTGATGAGCAGACCAGACTGATCCTCTAATACATCAAATCACAAAAACACCACTGCTGCAGTAGCAGCTTCAGGTCTGACCTGGAAGGGAGAGCTGTACTTTGTGACCTCCACGGTGAACTGGTCAGAGATGGCGGCTCCGTTGTCCTGCAGGGTGACCAGGCAGAAGTAGGCCAGGCAGGGAGTGTCGGACGGGTGCCAGGCTGCAGCCAAAACCACCAACCCGGCTCTGAAAGCACACAGAGTGTAGCTCGGTTCAGCCAGGGGTGCAGTAAGTTCAAGAGGAATAGCGAATAATAGAGGAACATGGAGGCAACAAATAAACACAAGATAACCTGTCGACTAAGACAGTGGTCCCCAACCTTTTTTACACCACAGACCGGTTTAACGTCAGACAATATTGTCACGGACCGGCCTCTAAGGTGTCGCGGATAAATACAACAAAACAAAATCATACGACCAAGACAAAAATGGTGGCATTTTGTAAATAACATAATAAACGCGAATTCACTGTGTAATTGTGTAACTTTATTAGCAGCGTCCTCCTGAAATGTGCCAACAACACAGAGTAACATCCTCCTCTCTGCCCCTTAACCTCCAAGGACCTGGCGTCCACATATGTGGACATCACATCTTGGGTTATTTAGACCAAAATACTGCAAGGGCCTGATGTCCACTTACGAGGACATTATACTGCTACTCTTCTATCAAAATTTTAAACGAATATCCTCATATGTGGCTCTCATGTTCCTTGGAAACAAAAATCTGTTAAATTTTTTATTTTTTAAATCTGGTAATTCTTTGTTTTTGCGTTCATCAGGTCAGGTGTAAAACAAGTCTTTTTATTGACTGAATGGATAAAATCCATCTTTCATTTAATATTTATATATTGAATGTAATTTTTTAAATTCTGAGATTGATCTTTGAAGTGCAGAGCGACACAGGATGGCTAGCTCAGTTTGGCCGTAGTATGCTAACGCTAGAGTGACCATATTTTGCTTTCCAAAAAAAGAGGACACTCGGTCCAGTCATGAAGAACTTTAATAATACTGTTTGCTTCAAGAAAACGTTAACACATTCAAACGATGGCTTCTCTGTGTGGTTAATGAATCGTGAAATAAAAAATGTCATATAGACTTTTACAAGTCAACAAGTGCAAAACAAGAGGCCGGTTGGTCACTCTAACACTTTACCATAGCACATGCAATCCTACATGCGGCATGTTTTAGTGAAAAAGAAGAAGAAGAAGAAGGAAACAAAAATGATTCAGGTTTTTGTGAATCCAAAGACAAGCTGCTTTTAATCACACACTCACTGGCTGAGCTTCATGTCCAGATATGCCACATTTGCTCCCTCCTTCATCTCCTCATAGTTGCTCTCTGACCCCTGGAGGAAAGGAAATCATTTTCATTTGAATCTTATTTATTTCGTTTTCTTTGCTACAGTGCAGAACAGGAAAAAACCCTTCATCTGTAATAAATAAGGTCACATGTTTGCTCATACTGACCCATATAGCGTCTGTGATGCTCTCGTTCAGAACTCTGCGCGCGTCCCAGTTGAGGATCTGGTGCTCCGAGCTGTCGTCGACCTCCCATTTACTCAGACTGGAATCAGTGAGTGTGTACAGGGAGCTGCTTTCCCCCACCCACAGCACACTGCAGAGCTGCAGCAGTAATAGAGTCAGAACTCTGAACACTGAAGATAACTAAACTGACACTGGAGAAGAACTGCCCTCACTATTCAGCCTGATAGACTTAAAACATAAAGGGTGTTTAAGAAATTTGTGAATCGGAATCAAAAGCAATCACTCATTTCTCTCTGTGGCTAAAATTGATTAAAAAAAAACTTGATTAACATAAAACACAAATAACACATGGAGGAAGTAATTAGCAGGTTATAATCAGATTATCTATGAGTGACAGTAAAAAATGGGGAAAGAGTCAAGCTCAGAGCAACACTATTCGATGTATTTAAAAGTCATCACCAATAGATGAAAAATAATAACACTGTACACCGACTAGTCTTAATTATTAAAAATGCATAAGATAGAAAAGAGTTGTACAGATAGAATAAATGAAAGCCCAAACTCTGCAGTGGACTCACCGTGTCATTGGCTGGTGTCGAGAGGATGCCAAACAGGCTGGAGACACGACGTCCGATGCCAGAGAGCATGCCCTGACCCTGCTGCAGAGCTCGGCACTGCAGCTTCCCAGAAGAATCTGCACTTGTTCTCAAGAGCTGATTCTTTACTGAGGACAAGACAAAGCTTCCACCCTGAGAAAGGAGAAGGAAGTGAGAAACAAAGAGGTCAAATTATATGTTGTTGATTTAATCCTGTTCCTTACAAATCTACACAAAATAAAGTGCAATGCCAGCTTTATTACGTGTGTTTAAATGTTTCAAGATATCTCAAGGTATGCAGTGAATAAACCGTGGACAGCAGCATTACTCCTCAGTGATTTCTGGAGCGATACTGTTTGATGTGGTTGTACTTTGGGACCCTTTTCAAAAATATTTGAGTATTCTGGATTTGGCAGAGTCAGTGGTGAGATTTTTTGGAACAAATTCGTTAGCAAAACCGTCTATTTTCAACTGAAGAACCCTACTTACTCTGACAGCAACAACAAAGTTGCACAGATCTCCCAGGTCCACATCGGTCTCTGTGTAGTTGCCCTCCTGGGAGAGGCTGGGCCAGTAGCGAACCACTCCTTCTGCAGTCACCGCCAAGACAGAGATGGACTGAACAGCAGCCATCTCCAGGGGAGCAGTGGAAGTCACAGCCACAAGGTCAGCAGTGTAGTTGTACTCACTGCTGGGCAGTTGCAACTCCTTGCAAACTGAGACCTGCAGGAAAACACAGTTTAGTTTGTGAATTTAAAGCTGCCAGCTTAGCACGTTGTGAACTTTCAGTCTGTTTTGATTCATCGTTTACTCCATCTAATATCGGAATAAGAAAGCAGGTTTTGTGAGAGAAGAAAAAGTCCATCTTTCTATCGCTGAAACATTTACCACATGTTACTAAGACACATGAAATAAATGATCAGTGAATAATTATTTGCTTTGTCGATCCTACAGATGGAAAAAAGGCCTCACGCCGCTTGCATTATTTTGGAGAACATGTTAAAATAACTCTTTAATGATTTTTAGATTGTAATTTTAGTCTAAATGTAGTTTTAAAGTGAATTTTAAACTCAGGCAGAATGTCTGCCCTGATCATACCTTAGCTACAGCAGTTTGGCAGATCTTCCAGATGATCAGACTCTCTCCACAAACCATCCAGGCCCAGCCGCTCTCACACACCTTCACTGAGATCTGATCATCAGCTAGAGTAACCAATAAGAACATGAAAAACAAATGTTTAGTGGAAACTACTAACTCTCCCACAACCAGAAACATAAAGAGAAGAGAGAGCAACTATATAAGAAAATAGAAAATGAATATGTTAGTTTGAAGCTCATAAAATTACACACGCACACCTTTCATTCTCAGAAAGAAGACAAGGTTTCTCTTACCGTCAGCCATCGTCAGTGCCTCCATAACTTTGACGGGGAGGGATGAGCCAAAGGTCTGCACATCATAGTTAACAGTTTCTGCCCCTGCATGGCTCTGCACTCGGGTAGGTGTTGATCTGGGGATGACACAAACTCAGAACAATCAGCTGTAGCTACAGTCTGATGGGTCCAGTTAACCCAAGACTGCACTGACGACTCAGCACGAAAGAACATCATCTATAAATCTGTAAAATTGTCTTTATTTGCCATATATATGGAGCCTTCCGATTGAGTAAATCTGATCCGACAACACTCACCTCACCGACAACGGCGTCCTGCGCGGGGAGAACAGGAGGCCAGGGACCGCACCGGAGACACTCTTCCTCCCGGGGGTCCTGGCCGGCTGCCTACGGCCGGAGCCCGGGGCGGTTCGAGGGCTAAACATGCCTGCGGTGGTACCCCGAACTGTTCAACAGTGATAACTACAACCCTGCCTGAAAAGCGCGCTCACACGAAAGATCCACCAAATACAACTCTCCAAACAGCGCGCGGTGCAGTCGCTGGATTAAAACGTCATCGTCTCCTCCGCCTATTTTGTAAAACTTTATTTACAACTCGAAAACGAGATTTTACAACTGCAACACTTTCACAGAGGAAAGTCTTATTGTGTGGGTAAGTCAGCCAGACTATATGAAAAAAAAAAACCACACACACTTTTTCATGTAGGCCACATTCATCCAATTAAAATAAAAAATTTAAATTACTCCGCTCTGCCGATTCTACGTTTTTAAGGGGCTTAAAAGGTGAGTTAAGTACGCTAAATACTTAACTCACAGTTAATTTAGTGACTTAATAGTGCACTTTCACACAGATTCCTGTACAGCAGGGATTGGCAGAGACAATTCTGCCTCTGGGTCAGTAAATTTAAGCTTACATATAAATTTATAAAATAAAACAAACACAAATTTATGTCATCAAGATGACATCAGATCTTTAGGAGACTCCAAACTATTCAGTGCATCTCATCATAGTAGCTGACTTTTATCAACTACAAAAATTATATCAACCTAATAACTGTGTTCTAAGATTTTTTCTTCTTCTCAGGAAATCTGTTATCTATAGATTTGGCCTTGAGCTTGAAACTAACGGGAGCCAGGCGAAAGCAGTAGATTAACGACACCTAGAATTGCTGATTAAAGATGAGAGCGGCCAGCTAGCTTAGCTGCTTTAGCTAGCATGATTTGATGGAGTCTGACAGGGTTGGATAACCACGATGGAGCGGCAGCGAACGACGTTGATATAGTAGTTATAGCCAGATACAGTGATGCGTTAAAAGCGGTCGTTTTGGACACAGTAACTGAAGGCGGACAGCAACACGTTATGCAGTAAGTAGCAATGTCCAAATAATGATGGTAAGGCATTAATCCCGCTAAAAGTTTAGCGGCCAGGCCCACTTCTAGCATTAGGAAGTTAGCCAGTTAGCTTGGTGTAAGCATCCTCCTCTACTATCGAAACTTGACAGCTTTACACTGCATGCCTAGTTCTTTGCTGACTTTCAGGTTAGTTGGCACGTATCTTTATTGTGCTAGCTGGGCCCTTTGTAATGCTTGTAACGTAAACACGCCAGCGTTGCTTTGCTATGTAATTAGCTACTAGGTGATGCTGTGCTCAAGAAGTTTAATTTGACCACGGAGATGATGAATGAGAATTTTTAGTAGTCACAGACATGTATCGTATTTTGTAGTCCGTTGTGAGCACGAAAACAGTTACTATATGCTTCCGACTTGTTGGATGGATGAGCGAGAGAAGGTGCTGTGAAAAGTGCCAGGTGTCTGACACTGTAGCTTGTGCTCGTAAGGTCATGAAGCGGATTCGCACTGAGCAGATCCAGTATGCCGTGGCTCAGTACCTGAAGAGGAGGCAGTATGTGGACACTGACGGCTCCCTGAAAGGAGCCAAGCTCTACCAGTCCCCCGAAGAAATGGCTGCAAGTCTCACGGGTAAGATGATGATGATGATGATGATGATTCCAGCCTAATTAATAGATCGCACAGCCACATAGTTATGAGAAAAGACTGATCACACGAAAACACCACAGGATTGGCTTCACTGCAAAAATTAGCACTGCCGCCTCAGTGCAACATGGATTTGGTTTTGGGCTTGAACCTTGTAGAGCCTAGAGCTGTCTATATGGAGTTTCCATGCTCTCCATGGGCCTGCTTGGGTTTAATTCCACAGTGCAGAGACATGTGTTAGGTAACTGGTGATTCTAAGTGATTGTGAGACTGTGTTTTTTGTCTTGGTTTGTTTGTTTTGTTTTAACCTTTGTTAAACTCGTGACCTTTCTAAGGTGTACCATAAGACAACTGGGATAGGTTCCAGCTCACCTGTGTCCCTAGGATAATTGGTTAAGATAAATAATCTATTTTCATAATGCAGTGTAATGTATTTGACCCTTTGACTGGCAATATTCTCTGTAATTAACAGTTTTCCTGGTTTCTTCTTTATCTTCTTTCTCTATGTCTGAGCAGTGCAGACGGAGTCAGGATGTTCCAATGTCGTTTCTGCTGCACCATGCCAGTATGACCCACAGCAGTATGAGATTCAGTATTCCAAGCTCCGCGCCTTCCTGTCAGGTATGAGCTCTACATCACTGAGTCTAGACTTGCACATCTATAATTGTATTTGTTCCCAAAGTTTATGCCTCGGCTCCACGTTTTTTAGGTAGTGGTAAAGCTGCATCCTAAACAGCAGAAAGAGACAAAGGTTGTGGACGACTGGAGCTTCTTTCTGAAAGATGACATATTGCTGCAGTTTTAAATATTTTTATTTTCTCTGACAATTGTGCTTTTGTATTATCGACAATCCAGGGCTGATATTTTTTCATTTTGTCAACATTTCTTAAGCTGTTTTTGTGCGAGTCCACATTGTTTTGTCCTGACTGTTAAGAGAGAAACATGGATTACAAACTGGGTTTAACATTTGTCTTTCATACATTTATGTTCGTATTTATTTTTTGAAAGGGCATGAATAACAAAATGGATTATTATTGGCTTATACAAACAGCTCCACATGGATATCGAGAATGAGATGATGGAACTGTTACGATATTGTTAACCTTTGTTGTTATTGATTACAAAAGCCTAAAAAATATACATATTTTTTTTCTACTAAATAGAAGCAGACATATCCTGGGCTAAAGAGGTGAGCAGTGTCCTCTATCCACTCTTCGTCTACCTCCACCTGGACATGGTGCGCTTTGGACTGAAGGGGGCTGTGGATGGTTTTTACAGTCGTTTTCATGGCGCCTTTCTTCAGGACAGTGAGCAGCGTACCATCATAGAGCAGCTCCGCCATGTCCTCAGTGCACAAGACATTGTGACCAACCCCAAGCTGAATGCTTTCTTAGAGCACAAATATGTGGTTCACCTGACGGAGCCAGCCTACGGCTACCTGCTGCGTTACCTGCAGAGTGAGGACAACAGTGCCCTCTGTAGGATCCTCAGTACACACCTGCAGCTGGAGGTCAGTGCCTTGAGGCGGACAGATTACCAGCTCTATGGAGCTGCTGGCGGGTCGACAGCTGCTCCAAACTCCACCTCCTCTTGGGCCGGAGTGGATGGAACAGAGAGTGGTGACGGGGTGGAGGTCCCAGCAGGGATCCCACAGAATGAGGCAGCCCTTGAGGCTCTGCAGGACTGCGTTAAGAAAGTCCGCGAGGGACCACCGTCACTCACCACCGTCTGTTTTTACGCCTTCCACCACACGGAGCAGATGCTGAACACTGCTGAGGTCTCGGCTGACAGTCGGTTGCTGGCCGGTGGATTTGACACCTCCACGGTAAAGCTGTGGAGCCTCCGTGCCAGAAAACTCAAGGCCAGACCCCATCAGGCTGATGTGTCACACATCCACCTGGCATGTGACGTACTGGAGGAGGAAGTAAGTAGACATTGTTATGAGAAGTCTTCACCTTAATTGTTTCCATATCTTCTTTTTCTTTTTTTTAAAATTTGCATGTGTTTCTTTTGGTGTACAAAATCTGAGAAAATAATCCCGAGGACAAGACAAAGGTTGTCATGAGAACAGAGACACGGTGGTGAAGTCTTGTTTATAGTGGTGATGGACAGGCTATGATGTTTGCAGATGACATTATGATCTGTAGTGAGAGTACGGTGCAGATGGAAGAGTTGCAAATAAAATTACATGTATGTGAATGAGAGGAAGATGTTGCAAAGCACAAGGAGTGGACGTTGACATGAGTACATGAGTTTAAATATCTGAGGGCAACCTTCCAAAGCAACAGACACGAGAGGTGAAGAAAAGAGGCAGGGTGGAGCAGGTATGTCAAAGGTGTGTAAGGGAAGATGTAGTGAGCAGAGCTGAACCAATTGCAATTTGCTAAGTTAAAATGTGTAACCTGCTGTTATTGATTTTCTTTCTATGAACCATAAATCACAGCAGATACAAACAATTTAGTTTGTCTTCAATGCAAATGCTTAACAAATATTATATCAGAAGAAATTATTGTCCCAAATATTATTCTCCAAAGCTGGAGTTAGTTAGATCTTCTTTCACTGAAACATCTGAAACCAAGTGCTTTGCTACTGGAAGGAGGTAGAAATGCTAAAATGAGTTTTACCTTGCCAAACAAAAGGAGGAGCAACAGCTTTATATAGTTTATTTTTCAGTATATTTATAAATTCATTAGACAACAGGGACCTTTTTTTTTCTTTCTTTTTTTTAACTGAACTCATAACTGCTTTGAATTTGTTTGTTTTTCCTTTGCTGGCACATACAAAGGTTGCTAGCCTACGGCGGCCTCTACGCACTGGATAGCTTTAACTTTAGCCACTTCAGCTCCTTTTAAAATGTCCACGTTTATCTGGGCGACGGTGATGTCACTGCCTGATTAGGTTTGTTTTTAGAAACATTGTTGTGGTGGGGTGCACTGAAAATGATCCAATTCCGATCTCTAGCAATGAGATGGGTCTCATTTGTAGATGGTGGCTCTGATTTAAAAAGACCTGCAGAGTTAAAGATTAAATTGTTTAGCAAATTTAGATTTTTAATGTACAAATAAATGTTGTACGTTATTTTTAGATTAAGCTGCAGAGGAACAAAATCAAGTATAATCATGTAATCTTTCATCATTTCTTCCAAGGTAGATGAAGAGGACAGCTCAGGCAGTGAGATAAAGACGCTGCGAGGTCACAGTGGCCCAGTATTTCGTACCGCCTTCCTCACAGACAGCTCCGGCTTGCTCTCGTGCTCTGAGGACACAACCATCCGCTACTGGGACCTGGGCAGCTTCACCAACACGGTGCTCTACCAGGGGCACGTCTACCCAGTATGGGATGTGGACGTCAGCCCCTGCAGCCTTTACTTTGCCAGTTGCTCTCACGATCGCACCGCCCGTCTCTGGACGTTCTCCCGGACATACCCACTGAGGCTCTATGCAGGGCATCTTTCTGATGTTGACTGTGTGAAATTCCACCCGAACTCCAACTATTTAGCCACCGGTTCCACAGACAAGACTGTGCGACTCTGGAGCACCCAGCAGGGGGCGTCTGTTCGCCTTTTCACGGGCCACCGTGGCCCTGTGCTGTCACTCGCTTTCTCACCGAATGGCAAGTACTTGGCGTCAGCTGGTGAAGACCAGCGGGTGAAGCTGTGGGATTTGGCATCTGGGACTTTGTTCAAAGACCTAAGGGGACACACAGATAGTGTCACCAGCCTGTCCTTCAGTCCGGACAGCAGCCTAGTGGCATCTTCATCTATGGACAACTCAGTGCGGGTGTGGGACATCCGCAACTCACACGGTGGGACGTCAGCTGACAGCTCGTCCAGCGAATTGGTGGGAATGTACACTGGAAACACCAGCAACGTGCTCAATGTCCAGTTTATGGCCTGCAACTTGCTGCTGGTGACGGGAACCGCACAAGAGAAAGCAGAGCAGTAGATGTAGCCGTCACATCTGGAGCTCTTTTGGGCGAGAGCTGAATGTTTCCCTGTGTCTGAAACTCAGGAGCCAAATCCTGAGATACATGTTTTTGTTCTCTTTCCTTCAAATTTCATTCTTCATGAACTGGCTTTTTTTTTTTTTTGGGAAATAAAGAAATAAATTACCAAAGTGAATTCATGGTATGTCAGTATTGAAGAATCTCCCAGTTTCTTGTTTAACTGATGATCTAAAAATTGTTAAGTTCTGTTTTTCTGTTGTGATGTAAATTCAGGAAATATTGTTACTGTTGGAATAACTGACACTATCAGGCAGCTTTATCCCAAAAGGAAACTTTAATATTTCAAACCTGAGACGTGTACAATAAAGTGCGTTCAACATTGCCCGGCTTTCTTTGGATTAGGCAGCGAGACGAAGCCTAAACCCAAACCCCTTCTGTCACAATTCTTTATCAGCTTTCGCTGCTAATTCAAGCTCTGCTTCTGGTGTTTGACGTGTATTTTGACTCTTCACACAATGAACCAAATGCTACCTTCTTTAGTCAAAAGGAATAGGGCAGATATTATTTATTTGTAAAGAATATACAAAGCAAAATGCTGTTATAAGAAGAAGAAACCACTCTGTGTGGTCTCAGTGCAGCTGTGCATTTGTTACATTTTAAACCAAATTAATTACATTTTTTAAGAAGAGCATTCAGGTCTGAGGGCGATGTGGAAATTGCTGAAGATCTTTGACAAAATTAAATGCAGTGACTGAATACTCTGACAACCAGAAATGAAAATGAACGATGTGTAAAATTTAGTGAAGATGAGGACCAAACAAAAGTATATATATCCACATTTTCTTTATCACTAATTGAATCCATGTTACTTCACATGGCCATTTGGCACAGATTCTTTACACTCATCATAGTGTACCTTTGTTCAGTAAAATGGATTTCAGTTCAGTCGAATCCACGTTGTAATTCAAGTAAATGGTCATCAGAAGAGCACTGAATAGAACCACCACCTGCCAAGTTTGTCTTCAGTGCAGTAACTGTATCCGTGTCTTTGAAGGCATCAAAGCTTTTTTTACACAGGCATGCACTTAGTATATAGAGTCTGGTATACTGAGGTGCATACATGGGACCAAAATAAGTTGGGGTAGCTGGCTATAAAGCGCCTTGCACCATAGGTGACAGTGAAATTTATTTGCACATGCTCACAGAGTGTAGTTCTTTTCAGATGGTAGTTTTGTTCTGCAGTTTTGTCTTAATTCAGAAAGTTTAATGTCCACAGTAATTGTAGTATTTTATTTTTTTTAAAGGAAACTAACCTGTTTTCATGTCCTCTCACAACTGTCTCATTACCTGATTTAGGAAGATGAGAAGTCTGCTGATTTATTTGTGCTGATGTGCTCAATATTGACAAAATGAACGTTACAAAGATAATGTTGCTCGGTGTGTTTTAACATGTAGGTAGATGCTTCCAGTAAATAACTATCAGGCCTTCTGCTAATAACTTTCCTAACTAATCTAGGTCTATCTACACTGAGGGCAACTATTGCTTCTAAGATGTATTAGGTTAAAGAGATTTGATGTCACCATCCTGAAGCCACTCAACATAATCACCTAATATTGCTCCTTGTTGGCAGCAGAGACTGGACTGATCGTGGACTGTTAAAGGTCGTCTCCAGCACATCGTTCAGTGTTCAGTTTGGCTCACACGTCCATCACTGGTTGGTAGCTATGTTGCTGGAATAACTGTTATATTTGTTTTGTTTCCACTGTTCAGTTGTGAAATGAGGTATGGAACTGATATCGTGTTTGGCTTTTGGACTGCTGGTAGACATTTATAAATCCTATCAAGTTTAAAGATTGTTCCGTTTTAAAGGTTCTTCAGGGAGAAGCAAGTTATTGTGAATTAACAGCAGAAAAACTTCTTTCTTGTTCTACAGCAGCAGGTCGTGTCTGAGTGCCCGCTGTAGCTGTGGGTGTAAAAACTCTCTAAGCTTTGAAGGCTGTTTTTTTGGTTTGTTTGTTTTTTGGAAAAAAAATTCTAACTGTGCAATTCATAAAAATTATAAATAGACATTATTTTTGTAAGTTTTGGGGGCCTTCCTGGTAATACACACATGCCTGTGTTATTTCATATAAAGTCTGGTTAGGGTTCGATGTGTTATTCATAAATCCAGCCTGGAACTTTTCTTTTGGTGGTCACCAAGCTTTCTGTTTCCCTTTGTTGTCCAAAACACGAAATAACAATTTCTTTTTAACAATGTCAGATTTCATTCCTTTTTTGTTGTATCATGTTGATGAACAATGAAGGACACTGAAGAGTAATACGTCATATAAGAATCCAACCATAATCCTTAGCTTTCTGAGTACTTAAGCACATATTATACTTTAGTATAAAAACCTCAGAATTCCAGTTCAGTTAGCGTCATCCCAGTCATCCTTGATCACCTGACAACTGAAATGTATAAAGTGCTGATCCTTTCTATTTTACTGGCTGCGTTAATAGCTGTATTTAAACATTTCACATGTTTCTGTATTGGTGCGAAGGCTGCACACTACGATAGAAATGCTAATTTGATTTGTATAGCACATTTTAAAATGCACCGTGCTTCATTTAGGAGAAATCCACATAACAAAAACAAGCGAAGGCACATATCTCACACATATCCACATGCACATACAAACGTGCATCTACACCAGGGGTGGCCAGCTCCAGGCCTCGAGAGCTGCTGTCCTGCAGGTTTTAGATAACACCCTGGTTCACCACACCTGAATCAAATGATTAGTTCGTTACCAGGCCTCTGGAGAACTTCAAGACATGTTGAGGAGGTCATTTAGCCATTTAAATCAGCTGTGATGGCTCAAGGACACATCTAAAACCTGCAGGGACACCGGCCCTCGAGGCCTGGAGTTGGCCACCCCTGATCTACACATATGTGTGTGTAGATGCACATGAAACCTACACTGGCTCGCTTATATTTGTCATAGCTACTGTGATAAAAGGTGAATTAACTTGTGCACCAAAACTGGGTAAACGGCAGGTGGACTGGTTGTTATAGAGCACTTTTCTACAGTCTAGCAGTCAAAGCATGCTAATGTGTCTCATCCACACAACCACAATTTTTTATGCTTCATTGCTTTACACACATTCGCACTCCAATACACTGGAGAGCAACTTGGGGTCAGTATCTTGCCCAAGGCCCATGCAGACTGGAGCAGCCAGTGATCAAACTGCCAACCTTCTGACTAGCAGCTGACCTGCTCTGCCGCCTGAGCTACAGGTGAATGTAAGGATGACAGCAGAGGGCAGAGCAAGTCCTGAAATATTCTGACATTAAATTTACATTATTCAGAGAAGAGAAGTCAGACCCCACTAAAAGATATTAGCAATGACCAATAATCTACTTTTTCTTACTACGGTTTACTACATATGTTTGATGCTTCTGTTCTTGTAAATCTTGGCCTAAATAGCAGCTGTACCTCTTACTGCTACTTTTTTGAAGTAATACAACCAAGTACAGCTGATGGAGTTAGACAAAGAGAAGGTAGAGGATGCTGCAAAACTACATCACCCATATTTTTATTTGTGTAATTAAGGTCACAAGTACATTGATTAAATAGTAACCCACAAGAGTACAGCTCAGTGCAAGTTCTTCTTCAGCTATGAGAGGAATCCTGTGACTGTGGGACAGGAATGTGGATGTCATAGCTGACAGTGTGAAGTGTCACTGCTGTGGGTCAGGGTGGTGCAGGTACTATGCTGGCACACCCTAAATCTGTCTGCACTGCTCAGAGAAAAAGGGAGGGACAGATAGATCCTTGATCTCTAAACCTGTTACAGGCCAGAGACACGAAATGACAAGACGCTGAGGCTGATACCGACTGTCGATCACTCAGTGGTTGCTCCGCATTATTTAATTATTTCTTTTACTTGGAATCTGTGGTGTGACATTCGAGCATTATCAACAATTTAGTTGAATTGTAGTTATTTTTTTCAGTTGAGAACCCATAAAAAGCTTGTTAGGCGTAAATAAATGATAGGGGTGACCATTTGTCCTTCAATGATTTGTCACAGAAAAACAAAACACCACAGGCATCAGTTGTGCTCTCAGCCCTGCCCACTTAAAAAATATTTGTCTCTCTCTGTTTCCACGTGAAAGCCATGTTGCGCTAGTACATCCAGACCAAGTAATTTCCTTATGAAAGTCCCAGCAGACACAAATTTGATTTAAGTTGATTGATTTTTCAACACTGTGAAAGTTTAATGGCAAAATCAGCAGTTTCCCTCTGTTTGGTTCTACAAGTCTAACAGATCCCAGTTAGATGCTAGGCAAAGATCATTGCTATCAGTTCCAGCAAAATAATCACGAATAACTTCTCCCAGTGTTTGGCAGGCCAATTCTTAAAAAAGAGAAATAGATAAAGAGAACAGACGGCACAGTGTGAGCCACGAGGGGTGAGGTTCACTGCCGCAGGAGGACAAACCAGTTTCCGTCTGGAGGGTGTGGACCTTCCAGCCCTACCCACCTGTCAGACTTGTCTCTGCATCAAACACTCAGCAGCACTCCATCACGCGTCACCTCACCTGCTTCTCCTCCACTCGCCGAGATTCTTCCCAAAAGAGAAGATGTCCACAAGCCAGGCGGAGAACACGCAGTCAGATGGGAAATCCTTTGAGCAGCTGAGACATGAATGTCTCATGAAGGGAGTCCTGTTTGAGGATCCAGATTTCCCTGCCAAGGACTCCTCTCTCTTCTTCAGCGAGAAAGTTCCTGTCCACATTGAATGGAAGAGGCCCACGGTATGTAAGCACTGAGCATTCTTGTACTCAAAAGAGCTCTTGAAATCTGTTAGATGCACATGTGCTGTTCATGAATTTCAAAATACTGAGCGACTTCAGCATGTTTCATCTAACGATTATCTGGTGATTTTTTCATACCCTTAAAAAGTGCATGTTTACTATTCAAATACATCTACATTAACTACACGAACTGCATGTCCACAGCCGTCCATGTGACTGCAAAGGCACTGAAAACATTAGACGACAAATTACTGAAATGATTCCATTCAAAAAGTGAAAGTTGATCAAAACTCTGTTTTTATTACTCTGAACCTAAACCAAGTCATGAAATACTTGTAGTTATAGCAGCAAAACCAGTTCTGCAGGTGAGCTGTGTAAATATAGCTGAGTGCAGCAGGCGTTTGTACCACTCTGAGCCAACTTTTCTGAAGTAAAAGTGGAGTGGGCTGGTTTGCAGCTGCTCCAACGGCGTGTGGGAGGTTTGCTTTTGCTGATCAACTTAATGTTGAGACATTTATGTACAATTTCATGAGTTTTTGGCTTCAAACTATGTCATGTTCTCGTTCATTTTTTGGGGTACTGTTTCTTATCGTACACTTCAGCTCCAAAATCTTTACCTGTTAACACGCCTACAGAGCTGACCCGATTTAAGCAGCCTGTCGAACTCCCAGCTCATGCTCGTTACAGTTACTACACATT